GACCTCCCAGATCCTCTGTTCTTATAATTTTATTCTGTGCTTGACTCTTTCATTTGTCGACTGAGTTCAGGTTGATGCTGCCATGTATGTCATTCTGTAGTTGTTATGTTGATGAGCCTGTTTTGAGAGATTGTTATTAACAAAGTTCACAGTTCACATTGGGGTTCTCTCTTTGCACTGTATAATTTCTGTGGGTTTTGACAAATGCATAATGTCATGTGTCCACCGCTACAGTGTCGTGAACTTATCATTACAGAATTGTTTCACTGCCCTAAAAAATGTCCTGTGCTCCACCTCTTCATCTCTCTCCCCTCTCCCTCTCTCCTTCCTGGCAGCCACTGATCTATCTCGATAGCTGTTGGTAGTTTGTGAAGCCTTTCAGCGCACTAGTTTCCTGTGCACTAGTTGATACACACTTTGCTTTGTGTCACTGGTTGCAGCCCCCCTCAGTGTGATCGCACTCTTGCTACTTCTTCCCTGGGTTCCTTATTTCCATTCAGCCTTCCCTCTTACCCCTTCCTGCCCTCTGCATTTTTATTTTGGACAAATGCCAGTTTCCTGGTGTAGCATGGTTATTTTCCTCAGAAGCATGTTCCTCACGGGTACCTTTGCCCACGCTATAAGACTGTCTGTTGTTTGGTTGAAAGGTGATCTCCAAGGGTGGGTTTAGTTCCAGGTTTGAAGAGTCTCTAAGGATGGTAGTCTTAGAGGTCCTGCTGATTACTATTGGACCAGTAAGTCTGATCTTTTTTATGATTTTGAATCTCTCCCACTCTGTCCAGGCCCTTGTGTTGTGATCCCGATCAAAGCTGTTGGTGGTGGTATCCGGGCAACATGTTGTTCTTCTGGCCTCAGGCTTAGGGAGGCTTTGGTTTGCATGGTTCATTAGTTCTTTGGACTAATTATTTCCTTGAGTCTTTGACTTTCTTCACTTCTCCTTGCTCTCGACTGATCTGCCTCTGTAGTTTTCCCTTTTTTCAGAACGTCTTGTTGCTGTTTTCATGTAGTATACAGCTTTTTCAAAGAAAGATGCCCATTCCAAAGGCAGGTAACTCAACAGATGGCGGAGACCATGGAAGAACAATATCATCAGTATCACAGGAAGGACAATTTTACTGAAGATAATTAAAAAACAGTTGCAGGACTACACATCGCCAGGAAGGTGCTGGAAACTCAAGCTGGATTCAGAAGAGGGAGTAGCATAAGGAATGTCATGGCTGATGTCAGATGGCTTTTGATTGAAAGCAGAAAATACCAGAAAGACATTTATTGGTGCTTTATTGACTATACAAAGGTCTTTGATTATGGATCATAACAAACTATGAATCACATTGCAAAGAACACTTAATTGTGCTCATGAGGAGTATGTACACAGACC